AACCGCCCCCAGCCTGCCACCCTATTCCCACTCCCTTCCCCATAGGGGATATCCAGAGTCTGTCATTTCGTTCAGGGCAGGGCTTAGGCCTCCTGCCTCCACCTATTACGTTCTGGGATTGCAAGTGTGTACCACCATGCCCATGTTGGAGGCCATAGTTTAACTTAATGTTTTATACAGTAGGACATCAAAAATGCTACTGCCTTTGAGATTAAGCTTTTATATCTATAAAGTGGAGTTATATCCTGTTCAAAGAATTTGAGTAGTAAGGTAAAATACCATGGCAAATGACAGTATTTTCTTACTTCTTGTACATTATTATGATCATTATCAGTATGATCATTGTCATAGTAATTAGGATAGATTAGAGAAATATTTGCATGAACGAGTGGCTGCAGTCACAGTTATACTGCCACACATTGTATTGCTTCTCACCTATGAGGGACTTAAGTTCTGTATACTGGAAAAATAAATATCCTCACTCCCTCCCTTTTTCCTTCTCTCTTTCCACCTCCCAACACCCTTCCCCCACTTTTTCCTTCCTGGGACCACCTTGTGGCTTCCTGTGACTATATGATCCAAATAGAGTGCACACAGTCCTGTGAGCCCTTGGCAACACAAGTGTTTCACCTACACTGTTTAAACCAGCAATTTGAGAAGCAGAAAGAGATGCATTAATAAACCTGGAGAAGGAAGAAGCAGATGTATTCATAAACCATCCTGCATGGACACAGGTTGCAATTTTGTTTTTCTGACACACCAGCAATTCTTTAAATGTTTATTGTCAACCTGGGGAATTCATGTGCAGACTGTAGGCATATTTAAGCTTCTAATAGGCCTTCTCAGCAGGGCTGCTTAAGGCAGCCCATCTGGCAGATAAAACTTTAGAGCCAATTTTCAAACAATTCTTCCAAGGACAGTTAAAACTAGATGCATTCTACTATGGCATATCGAAGTGAACCTTGGGTTTTGCCTTTGGAAGTTCACATGTAACCCAGAATCAATTCTTCTTTTCCAGGACACCCAAAGGAGACACTTGCACAGTCAAGAATGACTTACATTTATTGCTATACACTAGCCCGAGAGCAGAGTATGAATCATAGAAGGAGATATGCTGCCTTTTATAGCACCCAAAGCAGTAAGCAAATGCAGTTAGAATGTCACTTCAATCTCTTCTTTTCAAGATTAGTGACTATGTATACTGCATCAGATCTCTACTATTTGAGTAAAATTCCCCAGAATTCTACCAAGCAAATTTTTAAATGTAATGAGAAAATTAGTCTTTACAATGGTTGTTTTACCAAAGTTCTGATGATGGTGTATGTGTGTGTGTGAGAGAGAGAGAGAAAGAGAGAGAGGAACAGAGACAGAGAGAAACAGAGAGGCAGAGAGAGACAGAGAAAGAGAGAGACTTTTAAACTATCAAAAGATATTGTTTCACCAGTTTTCAAGAAGCTAGATTTTGCTGTACAGCTTTAGTTTCCAATTCAACCTCTGAACCACCGTTTTTGATTTGAAGGGATATGTTTCCTTTCTTCCAGCTTTTCCTTCCTCTGTCTTTCCTCCCTCCATGTCCCCCTCCCTCCATCCTTACCTTCTTACTACCCTTCTTTACCTCTTGTATTCTGATACAAATGAAGAATTTGGTATATTTAAGTGCTCAACCCTCCTTCTTTGTTTTGCTAAATCAAATTATTTTATTCTGAATAGTTTAATTTTCCATAAAATGAAATAAAATTGAAACTCTTTGTTTATTACCTAATGTGAGTTAAAGAAGACATTTTATGGGACTCACAGAGGAGAGGGGAGAGTCACATCAGGTACAAGGATATTTTCAGAGGAGTGTCACAAAGAACACATTTAGGTCAGTAACAAGTTCCTAGCTGCTCTGCAGAGCAGGATCATGGCATTCACAATGAATTCTTTGCTACCCTCATGATGGTCAGAGTGAAAATACAGGGTAAATCTAACTTCTGTACAAGTTCTTTTATTGGCCAAATTCTGGAAACTTTTGACCTGCTATACCTGTAGCAGGAGTTCTCAACCTTCCTAAAGCTGTGACACTTTAATATAATTCCTCATGTTGTGTGACTCCCAACCATAAAATTATTTTCATACTACTTCATAACTATAACTTTGCAACTGTTATGAATCACAACACAAATATCTGTGTTTTCTGATAGTCCTATGTGACTCCAAAGGAGCCATGACCCACAGGTTAATAACCACTGTGTTAAAGCCTCAAGAAGTATGTCCTACAGTTCTCCTGCCTCTCTTCCTCCTTCGAACTACCTTATCTTAAAGTTAGTGCTGAAACTGAGTAACCAGACTAACCAACACACCCAGGGCAGAAGTGTCTCTTTCATCTCTTCTCAAATGAGACCGATAAAGCTAAAACAAAGGGCATAAGATGATTTTCTTGTGATGCTTGTTTGGTTACAGCTGGCTGAATCCTTCCATTTACTTCACAGACCAGTTATCTAAGAAAATCAAGTCATCCAGGCCCCACTGACCTATTACATCAGTTGTCAAGTACTCTGAAAAGATTGACAAACACTAGCAGAATTTTTCCTGCCCCTCTGTGCCAGGTAGTCAGATGCACTTACACAGGACCCAAGCAAATGCTGTCCTTATCAGAGTGAGATATTATTTGGAATGTTATTTTCAGAGTTTGACATGACTGAGTCTCTCTTCCACTCCAATTGTTGTATGGTACTGAAAGAAATGTGTGTCCAGAGTGTCTCTGTCCTTTCCTTCCATTGCTATTTTGATGTTTCTTTTTAAAACATAAAATAATGACCATGATAAAACAGAGTATTATCTGATGGTTCTTCTCTGGATATTGCTGCAATTGTAGAAATGACTCTATTCTCATTCTATAGATGGAAGCTGGTAATCATAAGTCTTGTAGGATATCTCTGCTTGACTACAGGCTCTCACATGTAGAGGAAAGTTTTCATTTTCTATGTGGCAGTTCCCTGAGGCTCATGGCTATTCCCAGTTTTATCTAGTTTATATAACCAAGAAGCCAGCTTCTGTCAGACTTGAGTCCTCTTTACTGGGTGTTCTATTTTATGCAAAGGATCTTAATTCTATCAACTCTGCTGTTTTTGAGGAACAGACCTAGTCTAGTCTTCCTGGAGGTTCCACATTCTACTAGCACCTACAACAAGCCTTTAGCCAGATGGCGCTCAAGACAATTGGAAAAATTGTAGATTTCTAGAAAATGGAGTATTAAAGTATTCAGTAGAAGAGACTCATATGATTCAATGAGCAAGCACACTCAGATGGAAGTCCCTAAGGCTTAAGAGCCTTGTAAAGGAGCCAGTGTAAAACAGCTTGTGGTGGTTGGAATGAAAATGGCCCGTATAGACTCATGCATGAATCCTTGGTACCCAGTTGATGGAACTGTTTGGAAAGGATTAAAAGTTGTGGTCTTGTTGGAGGAGCTGTATCAAGAGGGCAGACTTTGAGTTTTCAAATGCCTCCTCTCATTTCTAGTGCTGTTCAGGCTTTCTGTTTGTGGATTGAGATGTGAGCTCTCAGCTGCTGCTTCAGTGCCATTCCTGCCTGCTTGCTGCTGTCTTTCTCCCTACTAAGATGATGGAGGGATTCAATTCCTCTTAGTGTCAGCCCCAAATAAAATCTTCTTTTATAAGTTTCCATGGTGTTTTGTCACAGCACTAGACAAGTAAGTAAATGACACAGTCTGTGGGACTTCCCTACTCTTCAGTCTTACAGTGGGCTCAAGAGTGATCTTGTTGAGCTGGGTCAGTAGACTGTTTTGCTGCTGCCTTCTGATTTGGTTCAGTTAATGGGAAGTAGCAGCCCAGCACCAGAGTATAGGAAGAGAAAGGCTAGGCATTTATTTTCTGCTTTGTTTCTCAAAGGGTCATTCAGTTGCATCTCTCTGCCAAAGTTCACAGATCTTTCCAGAGGTGAACTAGCATCCTCCTGTGGTTTGGTTTTTGAGAAACTTTTTTTTCAGCAGTAAAGACACATAGTATATAACATTGCAGACACTAGCTGTCTATGTCTTTTATTTCAAGTGTTCTGACTCTGATTATCTGTAGTCAGCAGAGACCCCATGAGTTAAAAGTCTCATCTCTCAAAACTGTACATCAAGGCAGACACTAGCTGTAGGTAGTCAACCTCAGGCTCCCACTGTCTTGTCTGATTGTCCTGTAAATCCTGACTTAGATCCATCATTTGATATAACCACCCAAAGCCCAGGAAAATTACCTAATGACTATATCATTACTTTATTATAAAGGATACAAATCGATCTAGTTGAAAAGATAAATAGATAATAGTGGTTTCCAGAAGGGTTATAAGTGAATGGGGAGGTCAGCTTTGCTGACACTTCATCAATCCTTGGTCATTGACTGAGGTTTTCCAAAGCACCCTATTGGGTTTACAGAGGCTTCATTACATAGGCGGGATTGGTTAAATCACTGCTCATAAGTGATCAATTCAATCAATTCAATCTTCAGCTCTTCTTCCTGGAAGGCAATGGTACAGCTCAGTGCTCCAGCCTTCCACTCACATGTTCAATGCACTGGTACCTTCAAAGTGCTCTGCAACCTAAAATTATGTCTAATGGGAAGGGGATCATGAGAAAAAAGATGCTTCTTTCACTTTATTCTCTTATCCTCTATAGCTTTAAAATGGTTTTAGGAGATCTAACAAGCAATCTGGCATGAAAACCCAACATAGGTTCTTATTACATCTTATACTTGCAGTAACCAAGAGGATCTGGTGTCTCATAGTCCTTGCTGATAGAGTTTGCATGCTCCCTTGACTAGGCACTGCCCAAGTGATGGTAAGGGAAGAGGGAGAAAGAGAGGCAACATGTTTACAGAAATCTTTTGGCTAATACTTAGTTCTTGAAAAATATAGAACACTTACCAGTACTCATAAAATAATTTTCCCAACACAATACAGTGACACTGGGTCCCAAACAGCTCACTTTTTTTGTTTTCCTTCTTTTTTTTTTCCTGCAGGTAACTTTACCACTGTCCTGGTTCTATTGTTTTGACCTCAGCAAGGTCAAAGTAGTAGGAGGGATTGAGTGAAGACAGCAAGGATCCTGAAAGAATATGGACACAGACCTGTGATCAAAGAGCTGTAAGAAATCTTTCCCTAGGTTTCAATTTCAACACCCAGAGGTGTGCTTTCCATAGGCAATAGAATCTTTTAGAGAACGTTGAGAAGGCCATGATAATTGCTAAGTCTTGACTGGAGTAGTTTGTAAAACTGTACCATCTCAGCCAGCAGTTTTGAACCTGTTTTGGATGCAGAATTTTGAGAAAACTGCAGCAAAGGTGTTTTGAGATGCTGGATCACCTAAGTCATTTATTTTCATTGGTGTCTTGTCCCTTTGCTATGAAAATACATAAACATTTAAAGGTAATATACATATCTGTATTACCAAAGAATAGATTCTGCATTGCATACAAATTATCCAAAGATGATTTTTTATTTTGTGTTGAGCAGGTAAAAATATATTGCATATTTTGGAGTATTTTAGTCTTTAAAGAAAGAAATTAAAGAAGACACCAGAAAATGAAAGGATCTCCCATGTTCTTGGATAGCTAGGGTCAACACAGCAAAAATGGCAATCTTGTCAAAAGCAATATATAGATTCAATGCAAACCCCATGAAAATACTGGCAAAATTCTTCATGGATCTTGAAAGAAGAATACTCAACTTCATATGGAAAAACAAAAACCCCAGGATAGCCCAAACAACCATGTACAATAAAGGAACTTCAAGAGGCATGACTATCCCTGACTTCAAGTTCTATTATAGAGCCATACTCCTGCAAACAGCTTAGTATTGGCACAAAAATAGACAGGTAGACCATTGAATCAGATTGAAAAACCCAGATATTAACCCACACACTGACAAACACCTGATTTTTGACAAAGAAGCTAAAATTATACAATGGAAAAAATAAAGAATCTTCACCAAATGGTGCTAGATTAACTGGATGCTGAAATGTAGAAGACTGCAGATAGGTCATTATCTATCACTGTGCACAGAAATTAAGTCCAAATGGATGAAAGACCTCAACATAAATAGAGCCACAATGAACCTCCTAGAAGAGAAAGTAAGTGCTACCCTTGAACAAATTGGTGCAAGATATCATTTCATGAACATAACTCCAGTAGCATAGACACTGAGACTGACAATAAATAGGACCTCTTGAAACTTAGAAACTTTATTAAGGAAGGACACAGTAAAAAGAAAATGGCAGCCCACAGAATGGGAAAAGATCTTCACCAACCCCACATCTGACAGAGGGCTGATTTCCAATATATACAAAAAATCAAGAAGCTAGTCACCAAAACACCAAACAATCCTATTAAAAAGTGGGTACAGAACTAAATAGAGAATTCTCAATAGGAGAATCGAAAATGGCTGAGAGACACTTAAGAAACTGTTGAACATCCTTAACCATCAGGGAAATGCAAATCAGAACAACTCTGAGATACCACCTTATACTGGCCAGAATGGCTAAAATAAAAAAAAAAAACACCAAAGACAGTCTAGGCTGGAGAGGATGTAGAGAAAGGGGAACACTCCTCCATTGCTGGTGGGAGTGCAAGCTTGTGGGACTGCTTTGAAAATTAGTATGGGGGTTTCTCAGGAAAATTGGATTCAGTTTACCTCAAGATCCAGTAATTCCAGTCTTGGGCATACACCCAAAGAATGCACAGGCATACAACAAGAACATATGTTCAACTATGTTCACAGCAGCATTATTTGTAATACCTTAATAGAGGGAGCCAGTATAGGTTTAAAGAGAAATCTGGCACTAGGGAATTATTCAGAGACCCACAAAGATGAAATAAACTATGAATCTAGCAGAGACCACCTTTGGAGGCAATCTAGATGTCCATCAGCTGAAGAATGGATGGATAAAATGTTGTGCATTTGCACAATGGAATATTACTCAATAGAAAAAAAACAATGAAATCTTGTAATTCACTGGCAAATGGAAAGAACTGAAAGAAATCATCCTGAGTGAGGTAACCCAATCACAGAAAGACAAGCAGGTATGTATTCACTCATATATAGATATTAGACATAGGGCAAAGGCTTACCAGCCTATAATCCACACCACCAGAGACACTAAGAAATAAGGAGGACCCTAAGAGAGAAATACTTGTTCCCCTGAAGAAGGGGGAAGGGACAAGAACTCTTGAGCAAATTGTGAGTATGAGCAGGTAGGAAAATGAGAAGGGGAAAAGAGGAGGGGGGAGGATAACAAGAGTGATCAGAAAAACTGAGTCAGGGAAGGGATAGAGTACCACAAGAAGAGGGATACCTTAATAGAGGGAGCCAGTATAGGTTTAAAGAGAAATCTGGCACTAGGGAAATGTTCAGAGATACACAAATATGACCCCAACTATGAATCTATGCAGTAGTTCAAAGGCCACCTTTGATGTCTTGCCTATAATGAGATTGATGACTACCTTAATTGCCATCCTAGAACTTTCATCTTGTAGCTGATGGAAGCAGAAGCAGGCACCCACAGCTAAGCACTGAGTCATACTCTTTGAATTCAGTTGTAGAGAGGGAGGATGGATGAGCAAAGGAGTCAAGACCATGCTGAAGAAACCTACAGAAACAGCTGATCTGACCTAGTGATAGCACAGGGACCCCAGTCATAAAGCTGGGGAACTAACATTTAACTGAACAAAGACATGTGAATGTGGGTGGAAGTTAGGATGCCTGGGAATTCTATAGGAACTCTGGCAGTGGAACCAGCATTTATCCCTAGTACAGGAATGGATTGTCGGAGCCCCTTCCCTATGGAGGGATACTCTCTCAGCCCAGCTACATGGAGGGGGACCTAGGCCCTTCTCCAAATGATATGACAAACTTTGGTTATCTCCCATTGAAGGCCTCACTATCCTTGGAGAGTGGGTGGGGGGTGGGTTGTGGGGATCTTTGGGGGGCATAGGAGGATGGGAGGGAGAAGAATGGGGAATTGATATGTAAAATAGGATAAATTTTAAGTAAAATAAAGAATAAAAAAAGAAACCTGTGAGGAAAGATTTTATTACAACTCACAACTTTCAGATCCCACTCAATTACTGAGGGAAATCAGGGTAGGAATCCAAGCAGAAACTCAAGGTAGCTGTTGAAGCCAACATTATAGAAGAGCGCTCCTTGGTGGCATGCTCAGCTTGCTTTATTATACCATCCAGGAACATCTGTCTAGGGTTGTCACTTTTCTCACTGGATAGGGGTCTCTAATATCAATCATTAATGAGGAAAATGCCCCACAGGGCAATCTGGAACGGCATTTTCTCAACTGAACTTCTGTTTCAAGTTGATGAAAGGCTAATTAGGAAAGATGCCAAGACTATAAAGTGTATTTTTAAAAGTATATTGAAAACTTATTTTCTATTGTGCAACTGCTTCATAGACTCATGAATAGCATCTGAAGTCTACATCCATTGAAATCAGCTGCAGAGATAATTTATGACAATGTTATGTACTTACAATGGCAGTAATCTAAAATATGGGACACAAGTTTTTAAAAGGGTGTATGTAGCCAGAAACCCAAATGCATATGTGGAATCAGATGAAAATGGGAAAGTAGCCAGGCACTTTTATGTACCTTCCTGACTTGCACACTATGCATCATTCATCTGCTATTCTCAAACATCAGATATCTAAGTCAGAAAATGGTCCTTTCTTAGCAGTGCAAGAGAATGGCAGTGTCACAGGAAAATGCCAAGACAAACATGATAACTAAGAATGCAAGCAATTACTAATAAACTGAGATGTACTGAGTACTAGAAGTGATGGAGACCTTCTTGGCTTGCTTTGACATCACATAATTTCTTTTGAAAAGTGGATCCGCTACTATGTGTAAAATATTGATTTTATTTCTTAACTTGTTTATCTCAAATTGCATTGTTTTATAAAATTAAAGCTAACCTGAAGATTTATATTCCATCCTCCCATTCCCATGATATCAGTATGATATCAGTTTTTCTGTTGTTGTTTTTCCTTTTCTTGTTATCAAGATAGGCACAGAGGTATCAACAACATGAACAGGAACAGAAATGCTAAAAGGTGAAATAAGGGGCAGGTATTGATAGTCCCTTACATAATTTAAGATCTAGAATTTCATTTTAATTGCTCAGCTCTCTCCTGATTTCCACTCACCTGAATAGGCCACATGGCATCATCCCGTTCAAGTACTAACTGGGCATGTCTCTGCATAGCTTCTGAGATCAGACAAGATCTGGTATGTTCAGGGTGGTATGATGCCCCTAAACCAATGGAATACTACTCAGTGGAAAAAAACAATGTAATCTTGAAAATTTCAGGCAAATGGATGGAACTAGAAGAAACCATCCTAAGTGAAGTAACTCAGTCACAGAAAGACAAACATGGTATGTACTCACTCATATATGGATTCTAGACATAGAGAAAAAGATTACCAGCTTACAATCCACACCTCCAGAGAAGCTAGGAAACAAGAAGATCATAAGAAAGACATACATGGTGCCCCAATGAAGTAGAAAGGGACAAGAGCCCCTGAGCAAATGGGGATCATGGGGAGGGGGAAGGGAGGTAGGAGAAAGAGGAGAGGAGAAAAGGAGGGGTCAGAAGAACTTGAGGAGTGGGGACAGGGATAGAGGATAGTAAGAAGAGAGACACATCAATAGAGGAAGTCACTACAGGTTTAAAGAGAAATATTGAATTAGGGAATTGTACGAAGTTCCAAAAGGATGACTCCAACTAGGACCTAAGCAATAGTGGAAAGGCTACCTTAAATGCCTGTCCCCTATAATGAGAATGATGACTACCTTAAATGCCATCGTAGAGCCTTCCTTCAGTAGCTGATGGAAGCAGAAACAGACATCCACAGCCAAGTACTGTGCCAAATACCTGGAATCCAGTTTAAGAGAGGAAGGAGTAAGGAACAAAGGGGTCAAGGGAAAACCCACAGAAACAGCTGACCTGAGCAAGTGGGAACTCATGCATCCCAGTCTGACAGCTGAGGAACCAACATAGAACCAAACCAGGCCCCCTGAACATGGGTGTCAGTTCAGAGCACTGGGCAGTTTTTGGGGCCTTTGGCAGGAACAAGGATGTATCCCTAGTGCATGAACAGATTTCCCATGGAGAAATACTCTCATAGCCTAGATACACGGGGGAGGGCCTAGGCCCTGCCCCAAATGACTTGACAGATTTTGATGATCCTTCATGGAAGATCTTACCCTCCCTAGGGAGTGGATGTGGGATAGGATGAGTGTAGGTGGGGGACATGCGAGGATGTAAGAGAGAGGGAACTGGGATTGATATGTAAAATAAGTCTGTTTCTCATTTAAAAATATACATCTGTGTCTGTATATGTATCTGTATATGCATATGTATGATTCCTGCCCAGGGAAGGGCTTAACTTTCCTGAAGCCTTCTGGCACCCACATAAGTGTCTGACTAGTAAGAAAAGGCAAACAGTTGTAATCAGAACAGTCTGTAATAGTGCTTGAATATCTAAAAGCTCATTCATACAAAAGAGCTGACTAAGCAAGGAGAGTAAGCAACACACAAGGTTTCATATGATCACCAAGAAGAGAGGGGAAATATCGCTCTGCAAAGTACCTTTTCTCTTTCCCTGGAGTACTATTTAAGGAGTCCTTCATCATTTTTGTTAGAAAAAGGGACGGTATTGGGCAGAAAATAATTATGTCTTACATCAAGGAAGAATTGAATTTGTTGGATTGGTTTTTATTTAATTTTATGTCCTAAAGTATAATCTTCAAACCGTCTGACCCTTGGTCACACTGTAACTCATTTTTCCCATTGAGCTGGTTGACAAGTTCATAGCAAGATTTGGACTTTGGAGCAAGAACAGGTTTCAAACTTCAAAAGACAATAGCTTCTCTCTGAGTTTCTTGTCCACCTAGTCACTGCTTTTTTTTGGTAAGTTATTATTTCCGTTTTAAAAATATACTATCTTCACTTAAACCATGATTTCCTTCTTCAGTAGTTATAGCATGCCTTTAGTCAGGTGGAAAGTTAGGGTAGCCATCTTCCATTCTTCATCCTTCAGTGAGTGACATATGCAAGGTTGACCTCAGAAACTTTCCAGAAGCTTTTTGGTGCCTGCACATCCATCACTATTTAGATCCATCACCAAGTACGGAAACCTGACTTCTCTAGAGAGCTGGCCCAGATCTGGAAGGAACGTTTAAAGAAGCCTCTCAAGAGCACATGTTATCTAATACTCACTTGTGTAGAATGGAAAAAAATAATGATAGCCACTAATCACTGTGACAGGCTAGCCTCAGGATATAGAACAGATTTCAAGTCAGTGATAGCTTTATTTGTGCAAACACAGAAACATAATTGCATTTTAACCATAATAATCAGATTTTTAATTATTTTGATTCAATCATTCTCTTTAATTCTTCTAGAAATTAGTAAACACGCAAATATTCTGATTTAATTATTCTTTGTAAATTTTTCTAAAAAAATCTGGTTTGGAAATATTCTGATTTAATAATGAATCTCAAAAATGTGGATACTGAGAAACACTAATTAATTTAATATCAATTTGGTAAATTATAAGAGCTGCACTGAATACAAGGAAGTGTCTTTACCCAGATGTGAGCATAGAGTAGAGACTATAGTGGGCCTGGGAAAGTACTATATATGTAGGCAGTATGTTGTAATAATAGAAAGCTCTTACATGCATGATCCCATTTTCCTCCCTGATGTAGCCTCTCATAGCAAGGGAGTAAATTTATAAACAAAACATGGGTCCTGAATAGATGTGTTTGATCTATCTGTAAGATGGAACTTGAAAGAGACCACTGGAAAGCCTGCTCCTGTTGTTGAATGTCTACATCTCAATCAGAAAGCCCGGGCTACAAATTCACCTTCAAATTTTCATAGTCTACATGGTTTCACAGGTTCTTTGAGGACTCTGTGCTCTAATATCCTTTTCTGCAAAGTAGCAATGACGATAATGATGGTGACATAATGGGGTGAGTGGGACCATTAAATTATGTAGCAAAAAATCAAAGTATATTGGGACACACAGGAATCAGTGACATTATTATTGCAATTGAAAAAAAAGTTTAAGAACCCCGTGCAAATAAAAATGTATGGTTTCTAGTGAGGCTAGAGACAGTCTGTTTCCAATCTTGCTGGTATGGTCATACACACATTGTTTTAGAAGAAGTAGGAAGCAGTGAGTGAACTAGTATTGTTCCATCAGTAATCCTATTACAATCTGTATGAGACAGATCCTGTGCTGGACATTAAGCAGAAATTATGGAACATACAAAGGGAACTAAAAAAGTACTTTTTATTTTTCTTAGAAGATTTTATGTTAAATTATGATCAAAGTGGTATGAAGACAGTTTTTTTGCTGTAAACCACAACTAGAAATCATAAACATGGTGTGTGTGTGTGTGTGTGTGTGTATGTGTAACTTTCATCTCTGTTCTGAAAGAAGAATGGAGATGCCCAGGGAATAACAGCAAGAGTGGATAATCAAAAGCCTTCAGGCTGTACAGTGCTAGAATCAGCTGAACTCAAGACTGGGTGAAGAGTAGAAGGAAACTGGGCTTAAAAATGAAACAATGACAAAAAGGTAAAGACCAATAGAAGCCACAGGAAGAGCGTTTGTAGTCTGTTTTGGGGGTGATGAGTAAATGTCAAAAACATGAATCAGCAATTTCAAATTTATTTTTCCGAAAAAAATCATTGAGCACAGAAGCCAGAGATGAACATATTGGAGACAAAGCTCACATTCAGTAAGTTCTTTTTGTTTAGAGCTAACAGCACTGTCTCTCAGCCACTCACTTCATCACCTGGCTTGTGCCCCACCACATCTTTTGTGTCAACCTCAGGGCTCCATGTTGAATGCAGAAAATAAAATGTAGCTGGAGAGAAACACCACTAAACTGATTTATTGCCTCTAAAATTCCTGACCAAAAAAATATCTCAGTAGGCTCAAAGTACTACTCAATGATTTTCTACTTGCTTTCTCAAGCACAGAGAGACAGAGAGAGAGAGAGAGAGAGAGAGAGAGAGAGAGAGAGAGAGAGAGAGAGAGAGAGAGAGAGAAACAGAAACAGAGACAGAGAGAGAGAGAAGAGGGAGAGAGAGAGATTGTGTTTCCCAACTCTAATTTTCAGCTTATGTTATTTCTTCTCCCCACAGCATCAAAGTGGAGCAATCATCGAGTCAAGTGGCCTGATCATTTGTAGCAATTAAGCCATAGAATCCGTGTCTACTCTAGCCCATCACTGTAGCAGCCCTCATCTCCTCTGTCCTGTTTTAATCAGTTATGTCAGTAGTTCCCTCCTGTCCTCTTTTAAATAAATGAGTTTGTTTCTCATCATATCATTATCTTTGTCGGAGTATAGCTTTCTAACCTTAGACAAACTTTTCTAATGTTGATTTAGAGACAAGGTCTCCCTGTTTTATCTTGGCCAACATAGAATGCACTGTGTAGATGTAAGGACCTTGAACTCACTGAGACCTACCTGCCTCTGCTTCATAAGAACTAGGGCTAAGGGTGTGTGCCACCATATCAGGCAAGCCCTTAAAAAACATACTTATCATCCAACTTTATTACCCAATGGTCATCTTCTGATCCTTGTCTTTTTCTCAGTAACTTCTGGAAAGGTTTGTATTTCCTTTCCTGTTTCCGGTGCCTTTCTTGCTTCTGTTTTCTTTTGATAAACGCAGTCCCTGAAATCACATTAAGCAACAAATCTGAGAAAGCAAGGCTCAAGCCTGGATTATTTCTAGTGTATCTCCTGGAACATTTTCAATGAAGGCATTGCTCTATGAAGTGCTGTCATGGATCTCTTATTTAAAGACCTGTAGTGCTATTTAAATGAGGAAAGAGCTTTGATAAGAGGAACTCTGATTCAGAAATTATATTAGCATAAAATCTTTGTATTAACAACAACAAGATCCTTTCCACACACCATCTCAAAGCATGCTTGTCTCAGAAGTTCCAAGGTAACCCCATTTTGTCCCAATGAATCTTGCCAGACTCCATTTTATGTCTGCTCAGGTGCCTTTCCATTCTTAACACCCTGAAAATGACATCTGAGTTTGGCAGCACATTTGGGACTTTCTATGACTCTGAACATAACCCAGACACATAAAAAATTATCTGTTGAATGTATAGACAAAACAGTTTTAATCTCAGGTTGCCCTGACCTGTATCTGACAGTGCTATATTATATTATTTTGTTTTTATGTATTATGTATTCCTGTGTTTCATGCCTATAGACCTTTGGAGCAAGAGTTTGCTTTGGGTAGATAAAAAGGATTCTAATTTAGCCACATATGCAGGCTGGTCTGACACTTTCTTGCCTGGACTCTAATACTTTCAATACTCTTCATCTTAGAGATATTGCATGGCATATAACAGTATGTGCCTCCATAACCATTAATAGGATACCTTAAACCCTGTGGGCAGGAAGCATTGGACTATACCAGTAATTGGCCACAGAAACAACTTTACAATGTGAAAGAGGAACGTGTAGTTAAAGGTTGGTACTGGCTTCATGTGCATAGGCCTGCCCATTCTGTAGGTGAAATACAACCCAAACCTTACACTACATAGAATTCAATTTGACATGTTTAGATGCTCTGTGGAGTGAATGGGGAACCTACTGTTTCTGCAAACTCATCTCAAAAGGCGGGGGTGTTTTCCTTCAAGAATTCTCAGAAGACAGTGATTCTTTGATAATTGTTCTCCTGTGGCTTTGGTCAAGTGGAAACAGTGTACATGGCTTTCAAGAAGATAAAAGCTGCAAGCACAGACAGATGCTTTTCTGATAGTAATGAAAGGAAGTGCTTCTGTGACCCTTTAAAGCGTGAAATCCAATCGTTTAGAGAAAGCTTGGAAGATGCCTGTGAAAGGAGAGGAGTGAACCCATCCTGGTGAAGGGAGAGCTTCAGCTAAATATCAAGGAGCATCCAAAACTGTTTCCACCTGCTCAGGTACAATCTTTGAACACGCATACATAATTAGGTCCAAAGCTAAAATCCAAGGAGGTATCCACAAAGAACAACAAAACAAGCACGCAACAAAACCAGAAAAGTTTGTTCAGCTATGCAGAACTGCAAAAAAGGAAACAGTAGAAGTATAAATAGTTACACAAACAGTAGAAGTGCCTATAGGAAAACAGATATTTAGTCAAGATAAAATAGAGTTTGAATGGGAAATCACAGTATAAGCTAGTGAGCATGTAAAGACAGTTTCATTGTGTGTGCCCATTTCTCCCTAAATCTAGACTAAATCACAAAGACGTTAAACAGAAAATCAAGAAAGTCCACACCTTGAGATGAAGCTGTCACCATAAAAGCGTTGATATGCTTTTCCTGTGGACTAAATATGGGAAAGTCTGACCTAAGCCTTAGCAGGTGTGTCTGCCTGATGTGCTGAATCAATCCCACTGGATTTCATCAATTAGTTTATTTCCATGTAAGCTTGTCCCAATCATCCCAAACATCAATTTCATGTTTTATTCATCCAATCATGCTCCATTATGAATATTACTAAGAATGCTTTATGCAAGCTATCCACCTGCGACCCCAGTCTTAGGAGACTACTGAAGAAAGATCAAAGGTTTTAATGTCAGCCATTGTTATGTAGAAGAACACGCAGTCCTGTTGAGAGAGGGGCTAAGTGGTGGGGAAGAGAAGAAGGTAGAGAAGAAGAGGAAGGTGAGAGAAAAAGAGGGGGCAAGAAGGGTAATATTTCATCAGAAAGTTATTGCTTATTTCCTTGTTTCTTTTCTTTTGGCTTACTAATTTTTCTTGGCCTTTATAAAAGTTCACAAATTTCTTCTTCCAGGTCAAATCTGTTGTGAATCCCTTTTGTGAACTTTTTAGTATATGGAAATGGTGTGTGTGTGTGTGTGTGTGTGTGTGTGTGTGTGTAATGTTTAAATTTTATTTATTCTTTTCCTTGGCAATTCCATATATGTGTAATCTATATTCTGATTACTACAACCTTCAACTCTCTGTAATATCCCTGTAAGTTTACTTCTCATGTTCATGTACTTTGATTTCTAATTTCTTGTTATTGTTTTGGACCTACAGAGTTTATCTAAACTCATCTGTATTATTATGAACTTAGAACTATCCATTTGAGTAAGTATGCTCCTTAGTGGGTACACAGCAGAAAACACTACCCCTGCCCCCTCTAATCTACCAGTAGCAAATAGTTCCTCTGGGAAGATTAGGGCATGATTATAAATGGTAGACTGTTAATAGACCCAGTTTTACGTAGTCCACTGTAGTCAGCTACAGTTCTTCTAGTAGATAATTACTACATTAACAGTACCATGACCTTTTTGGCCCCTTCTGTCTATTTTTCAACTTTGTATCCCTTCCTGTCACTTCTTCCATCAATGATCCCTGAATGTTAAAGGAGGTGGAATGTCTTGTTTAGGGATGTTAATTCAACCACCAATTCATTTCAGCACCTTGAGCAGTCCATTGCAAAGAAAAGCATCTCTGAGTAAGTCTGTGAGTAGCCTATCTATGGATACAAACATAAATATTTAGATATGAACTTGATAATTTACAAAAATAATAGTAGTAAGTACAACCTAGGAACAAATCTTCCTTAATCCTGTTTCTTTGGCCAAATTTATAGTACCAGGTATGACATTTCCCTATGGAGTCATATTCATATCCAATTGTGGAGAAGTTGGTTACCATCAAACAGTCATGCTAGTATTATATCATTAGGCACTTCCTGTTGGGCAGGCTGGTTTTGTAGTTTGTAGGGTTAACATATGCTCAGGACTGTCAATGTCTTATTTCCCGACAGCTTGTACAACAACACTTGACATTACAAAAGCTAGACAGCATGGCAGAGCTTCCAGCTCATGTCCAGTTTGATGTTTTTACAACTTGCAACCAAGATGTGTGGTGTCTTAACCTCTAGTATTTTATTATCTAGTTCTGGTGGATAACCAGACAAATAGTAAGAGACTGTATTGTTTGCGGCACCTCTGGGGTCTCCCTAACCAAAAATTCCTGAAGTTTTTTTTAGTAACCTTTATTAAAAAATAATATTTTTTGTATATGCAGGATAATTTTCTTCTAACTTTTTTGCTTATTCTTTTAATTGTATTGCAAAATAAGTTTCAATAGGAAGTTTCCATATATTCATCATTTATATTAATCTTGACTTTCTGTCTTAGGGTTTGACTAAGCAACTAAGCAACAATGACTTATTTAAGTGGAGTTGTCCTTGTTACCTGGATTCTTTGGGCCTGAGAATTAGAGCCTGGTTGTTCTTTGCCTTACATCTAATATCTACTTATGAGTGAATACATACCTTATTTTCTTTCTGGGTCTGGGTTACTTCATTCAGTATGATTTTTTTCTCTTTCTATCCATTTGCCAGTGAATTTCATGATGTCATTGTTTCTCTCCCACTGAGTAATACTCCATTGTGTAGATATACCACATTCTCTTTTTTCCATTCTTTGTTTGAGAGGCATCTAGTTTGTTTTCAGATTTTGGCTATTACAAATAATGTTGCTATTAACATAGTTGAGCAAGTGTCCTTGAGGTGTGGTTAAACATCCTTTGGGTGTATTCCAAAGAGTGGTATCACCAGGTCTTGAGGTATATTGATTCCCAATTTTCTGAGAAACTGCCATATTGATTTCCAAAGTGCCTGTACAAGTTTGCCCTTTAACTAGCAATGGAGGAGTATTCCCCTTATCCCACATCCTCTCCAACACTGGCTGTCATTAACGTTTTTGATCTTGGCTACCCTGACAGGTGTAAGATGGTGCCTCAGAGTTGTATTGGTTTGTATTTCCCAGATAGCTAAGGATGTTGAACATTTCTTTAACTGTATACCAGCCATTACAGATTCTTCTGTTGAGAATTTTCTGTTTAAATTTGTACCCCATTTTTAAAAGGGGAATATTTGGTATTTTGATGTCTAGTTTCTTGAGTTCATTATATATTTCGTGTAGCAGCCCTCTGTCAGAGGGATTGGTGAAGAACTTTTCCCATTTTGTATGCTGCCATTTTGTCCTATTGACAATGTCCTTTGTCTTACAGAAGATTTTCAGTTTCAGAATGTTTCATTTATTAAACGTCAACCTCAGTGTCTGGGCTACTGGCATTATATTCAGAAAGTAGTGTCCTGTGCCAATGCATCAAGACTATTTTCTACTGTCTTTTCTATCAGCTTCAGTGTAACTGGATTTATGTTGAAGTATTTGATCTACTTTGGCCTGAGTTTTGTGCAAGGTGATAGATATGGATCTATCTGCATTCTTCCATATGCTGCAATCCAGTTATGCCAGCACCATTTGTTGAAGGTGCTTTCTTTTATTTTGTTGT